GCTGCCACCCAAAATTGGTGTCAGATGCTTTCAAATTGAATACATTCATTTCGATTAATTTAAAAAATAATGTGTTAAAATGATTTAATGATATGTCCACATTTTAGACTAAGGGATAGGCTTAAGTTAATAAAAAAAAAAGACGTCTGAAGAATAAAACAATTTATTGATTTCTAATTACACAAAGTAATAAATTAATTGGTAATCAATGAAACACTCACAACACAACACAACACAAAAACACAAACGAGGGAAACGCTATCTCATCAGTTTGCAGTGAAGAAATGAGATTAGGAACCATGATGTAACCTTTTTTGAGTTGCACTTGCAGTGCCACCGGCTGCTGCCACCCCTTCTGTTAATGCTACATCCTGCCGGGCTGATGGTGCTGTGGATGATTTAGGAGAAGATGGGCCTAAACGGGTCAATCTCCACGCCTCCCCATGAGCCTGTTTGGGAGTAAGAAGAGATGTTTTCTTGCTGCCTTGTGTCAGAGGAGGCACTGGCTGGAGTACTCTGTGAAAGCAGCTTTTTGTTATTTTGATTAATTTCATTCAATGTAAAATGTTTGTCCTTAAATTTATTTACACCTAAGGGATTTCTACTTTTAGACAGATTATTAGGACAGCGACTATTCTTGTAATTCTTCCTTAAAATGCTCTCCCGGGGAGACGAATGGTTTCACTTTGCATAAATGCATTGTCAGTTGCCAGTAATTGGTGCCCCCTGCTATAAGACCTGTGCCTCCCCCGGATATCTGTTCTAGCTCACACTGCTACCCAACATTGAGGGACACTAACCAAGCTGCAGTATTTTTGTTGCTGCAGCAAATACGCCATCTGCTCTGACGTATTTCTGATAAAGAAGCTGCTCCACGAGTGTTTGCTGGCCTCTGATTCTAAGACCTGCAGTATGAAATCTCATTTGTTGTCACCAAATCAACCAGGACTGAAATCTTCGTCATGTCCCTGCCTCGGAGCTCATTATTAAAGCTCCCCTCCAGTCAAAAATCTGTTTCTATTCTTCTCCTTATAGTGTTCTGTTTGAATGCTGTCCATGCAGAGTTTGACATTAGAATGATGTTTTCACATTCATCTGCTGAAAGTGGAAAGTTTCTCTGTGCTCATTGAAAATCTGATTTTAAGGGGCGGGGCCTACCAGCATGATTTGTGACTCAATTAGTCTTGGAAGTCAGTCCTATCCCAGTAATGCAACTTGTACAGTGTGATTGTAGAAAAACTTGAAGCCACCAGTGCACAATCCAATGAGCATGGATTTTACAGTGAAGTAGGATGGTGCGTTTTTCAAACTGGGTGTCTGGGAATCAACAGGGTCCATGAGTGGGTTGTAAGGGGGTCCCGCTCCCCCCACGCATAGGAGAAAAGAATGTTTCAACTTTATCACTTGATCAAATTTTCTGGAAGCTGGAACAACAACAATAATTTATATTGATTCCCAGTTTGGTCATTGATATTCTATGGAACGAATTGATGATCCTTTTAAATCTAATAATAATAATATATAATAAAAGAGACTTCTCGAGACCAAAAAGAGATAAAAAGACAAAAATCTCTTAAATTGGGGATCAGTCGTAAATAATGTAAATCCATTGTGAAGGTCCTGTGACAATCAAAAAGTTTTAGAAGCCCCTGAAGTAGGAGACATCTTGTGTCCAGCAGGAAAACTTAAATATATAACTAAATTTGCAAATAAATGATTCGGTAATAATTTAATGAGGTACAGGATGTAGATTATGGTTTATAAATAAACTTATTGTGGAAAAACCATAATTCAGATACACATTATTCTCCAAGCAGACTAATTTGTGTATAGTGGTCTAATATCATGTCTGGGGGGATCTTTCAAGCTGAAAGAACTCGTAAATCAAAGATAAGCTATGTTCAATCCCAACTGAGTCCTTCTTTAAGGTCTAAGAAGTTAAAACACTTTTTCAAATGCTGTGCATTAGTTTTATATTTTCGGTACAGGTTTTACTCACAGCATGCAGTCCTGCCCGCTAACTGCATGGGGAACTGAAACTTCCTAACCCAGGGCAGTGTGAGCATGCCTCTCCCGACCTCCTTATCTCTCCTTCACTTCAGTTTTCTCTCCACGCACACTACCTTCTCTCCCGCCAGTGTCATTATGTTGTCAAAACAGGCAGGTGTTTGGGACCTCTATAGAGCGGGGCCGCCACTTCAAGCAGCTTATACTGCATCTTTCATAACAACATGCACTGTTAAAAACAAACATGGCATGCTTAAATGGTTATGGGAGGAATTTGGATCATTTGTGCTCTTAGCAGTGTACATAATGTCCACTCCCAAGGGACTTCCGACTGTCCCAATGTTATTTATTGTTCTGCTTATGCATCAAGGGGAAAAAATGAAGTCCTATGGATTCATAGGGTAAGAACCCCTTGTTGTGGGAAAATGTTTCTTTGAGTGTAAGCAAAGACCATTCTTCTATAAGCCGGGCTCACGAATTGCCAAAAAACCTCAATGAAATGAATCGGACCCGATAAGAACTGTTGCCTTGGCCGCTGCTTAAAACGTTATTTCGCAAAGGAGTGATGAATAGAGAGGCAAAACACACACAGAAGAAAAGCTGAGACAAACAGTGGAGAAAATATCCTGTAGGAAAGTGGAGAGAGCAAAAGCAGACAGAGAAGACTGCAGCAGATGATGGATCGTAATTGATTACACAAAGCTTAAAGACAGACCCGTTCACAGATTCACACCAAGAGAATGTCACATTCCCCTTTGCTTTCGCCTCCATGCCAAGGGTCTGCAAAGCCGCACAAGTAATGGCCTCCACTTAATCATCTCCAATCTCTCCACACCAAATCTGCTCTAAGTGGAAGCCATGTATGTGCATGGTAACAAAGCTGAAGGAGATGGCCCCTAATCATTTATACAACCTACGACCTGCCAGAGCAACACCCATTTGTCTAGCAGGGAGCAGTGGGAAACAGACTTGAGAAATAGCCTTTTTTGTTACATGGGGCTGCTGTGCATGTATGGAAGAAATTTGTGTGTGTGGTTGGGTGGTGTGTTGTGTGTGTGGTGTGTGTGTGTGGTGTTGTGGGTGTGTGTGTGCGTGCGCGCGTCTCTCTCTTTGTTCTCGCTCACTCACCCACTCACTCACTGATGACTCACAAGCACTTTACATTTACAGCCACATTCCCCCTTAATGTACACATAGGGTTCAAGGAAATAATCAATGTAAAATGGCAAGGGATTGTAGAAGAATTGCCCGAGTAGCCCAGTTTGTGCCTCTCATAGGTCTTTTCTGCCATCAGGGAACTGGCTCTATTCCGTATCAAACCATCTAGTTCTGAACCAAAAACTAAATTGGTTTCTACCTGAAAAAGTTGGTTCCCAGCTGGAGCCAAAAAATAGCAGATTTTCCTCGGGAACAAAGTGGCCGTGTCATATTCTACATGCATTGTGCACAACAACCTCTGTTGAGGATGCATCAGATTACTATAGTTCTATAGTTCTAGCTAGATCAGCACATCCAAAATCTGAATGGAACATTCATAACCAGAAACTAAATTTGGTGGAAAAAACGGACCTTCCACAAACAGGGAACAAGCTCTGAAAACAGCAGTTTTTCCTTGGGAACCAAAGGGGTGTCATATTCCCAAGTTCAATAAGCAGAACTTATTTGATGGAAAAACACTAAGAGAGATTAAATCATTTAGATCTTTAAAAAACACAGGTCATTTAACAACACTGCTGTTCTGAAGGTAGTTCCAAAATCCTCCAAGACTCTTCCAACAATCCGGATGAAAGAAATATTCAGTCTGATAAGCCATCTCTGTTGATAATTTCTCAATTAACTGATTAGCTGTTTGGTCTTTAAACTGTCAGGAAACTGTGAAAAATGCCCATCACTGTTTCCCAAAGCCCAAGCTGGCGTCCTCTAATGTCTTGTGTTGTCCACAACACAATGTTCAGTTTACTGTCATAGAGGACTAAAGAAAGCAGAAAATGTTTACATGTACTTTAAAAAATTACTCAGAATGATTAATCTGCTCTTAAAATAGTTTAAAAAAAACTAATTGATTCATCAATTAATTGTTGCAGAGCTGTAAAGTAAGTTGCACTTTTCATAATATAGTTACAGTGTGCTTTAAAAAAGGACACAAGCTCATCCAGATAGTTAGACTTTTTCTGGAAACACATTCACAACAATTAACAGAGGAGAGGAACAAACTGGGGCTTGACTCCAAGGTGACTGTATTCAAATGGTCTGACCAAAAGTCCAAAAAGCCACAGATATTCAGTTCACTCTAATGCAATGAAAGAAAAAAAGTGACAAATCCTCACATCCGAGAAGCTGGAACCATCAAATCAATCTTTTTTCAATCAACTAATTAATTACCAATTATTTCAGCTCTGCATACACAAATACAAATGCACAAGAACTGAGTCAACAGGGCACCCTTCCACATCACACCTGTATCATCACCCTGCATTCTGCAACTGTTTATCATCTTTAGATTTCAGCCATAATCATATATCAATATAGAGGCTATATATTAAGAACTTAAGGGTCTGATCATCAGCAACATGTTTGATTAATTTCGCAGAAACAATCGTGATGTTGTTGATGTTGGTGAGTCTGCCTTGTTCATTTCCTGGCAGACATTAACTTGCAGTGAAGTTGGATTACCAACTACCCTAAGGATAAATATATTTTTTAATATACCGAATTAAAGCTTAATGAGCTTAGTAAAATCTGCATCCTCTCTGTGTGGGCAGTGATTGAGTTTCTTTTTGTGGTTTCAGTGAAAATAAAACAATATATAGAGGAGCGTTTTGGACACATATGCGTAAAGCCACAGTTTCAAGCTATGGCACGCATGTAGTACAGAGTTTAAAAAAAACAACAACACACATTTCCCGATTTAAATATCCTTGGTGCGTAAAGCGCAACCGTGGAGACATCTGCACACGCAAAGCCAACACACAAACCAGCTTTTGGACACCTACCTGAAGCACAGTCTTAATGGTGACAGGTGAGACGATGGCGGTGCAAATCTTCTCGCTTTTACGCGTCACCTGGCCCATGATGAAGAGCATCGGCGTGGCGAAGGCGAAGGACGCGAGCCACATGGCGCTGATGAGCTTCTTGGTGCGGCTGCGGGACATGATGCTCTTGGCTTTGAACGGGTGGCAGATGGCCATGTAGCGCTCCACGCTCAGGCTGGCGATGTTGAGCGCGGTGGCGTAGGAGCAGCTGTCCCGGAGGAAGTAGTAACCCCTGCACACGGCGTCCCCGAACACCCACGGGTGGTGGAACCAGATGAAGTTGTAGAGCTCGATGGGCATGGAGAGCACGAGGATCAGCAGGTCGGAGACGGCGAGGCTGGCCAGGTGGTAGTGCACGGTGCTCTGGAGGTTCTGCAGGGTCTTTTTGGTTAGCAGGGTGTACAGGGTGATGGAGTTCCCCAGAGAGCCCACAGCGAACAGGGCCACGTAGATGATAGTGACTATCACCCTGGAGTAAACGTCCGTGTTCACTTCCAGGTCTTCCTCCTCTGGTTTGGACGCGGCGGTGTTGTTATCAAAAGAAAAAAGTGAGTTATTCCCAAAGAGTCTCTGCGCCAGCGCGCCCAAGTCGGCCAAGTCTCCCTCTGAGAGCGTGGAGTTTAAAACCATTATGCGTCTATGTGTGAACACATGGAAACAGAAAGGGGGACTGTTTAAGCTGAATGCACATTTGTTGATTTTCACTAGTTTATCAAGCGGAGTAAAGCGGGTTCAGTGTGTGGAAGTCGGAGGAGAGCAGCCTTTATATTTGGCACGACAGGAGGCGTGCTCGCTATTGGATCTGCTGCGATGACGCACAGCCATTCAGTGAGTGGAGCTCTTGCCTTTTGGTGCGTTCATGTTTCACCTTGGAAACCAAAAATAACGCCTAGGACCAACACATCGAAAATCATGGGCATTTAATTCCACTTTCTGAGAGACATTTTTTATTGTTTGTTTTGCATTTTGGCTGCCCTTGACACCTAGAACTCTCTTTCACAAACACTCTGTGCGTGCACCAGGCTTCTCTCTTTCCTGCTCTCTCACTCAAGCACACAAGTGCAAATAAATAATGTTAGGCGACAGCTGGAGACTCCGCTACAGTAGATCAGATGATGTTGGAAGCTGCAGTGTTAGGATGGTGTCTTTAGTGCTAATGATCAAGTCTCAGTGTGGAGAAATATTATCACAGGCAGAGAGGAAATGTTACACTAATGGTTACTTTGCAACAGCTGCCACTGCTGGGACCAGTGTAGCAAAGCAGGCCCTCATCTCTTTGATACACACTCACACAGTTTAACAGCAAGTGCTACATCTAAAGAATAATTAATGTTAATGTTCTTTTATACATATAATTTCAGTACTTTTAGTGGTCATGTCCCTGCCTCGGAGCTCATTATTAAAGCTCCCCTCCAGGTCAGAAATCAGTGTTTCCTTTGTTCCTACAGTGTGCTGTCTAAATGCTGTCCTGTGCAGGTTTGACACTAGAAGGATGTTTTCCACATTCACGCTGAAAAAGTGGAAAGTTCTCTGTGCTCATTGAACATCCCCCCTGGAAAGTGAAGTAGGTTGTGGTTTGTCAAACTGGGGGTTCTGGGATCAACAGGGGTCCCATGAGTGGGTTGTAGGGGGTCTCCAGCAATAGGAGGAGCAGAATGTTTCAACTTTTATCACTTCATCACTTTATTAACTAAGGAGACATCTTGTGTCCAGCTGGAAAACTTTTCAGTGAGTTCTAAGCTGCTTAGATCACCTACATAAATATAAATGTTTTTGCTTTGTGCTTTTACATCGTTAGATAGTTAGATTCTCCACAATTCAATCCTTCACTTCATTTTATAAAATTAATGAATATAGAAACCATGAGCACCAAAGTATCAAATGATCTAATGAATCATTCGTCATTGGTATTTCAATAGTCTAATTTTTATAAATGTAATATTCATACTGGTATAAATAAACAGTCTGATAGTAATTTCCATCTCAGCTAGAGTTTTGTGCAAGAGGAATTAAAGGTCTGTTCCAGATTGAGGCAGGTTGAGTCCAGTGACTGAAGCAAATAAAAGCCAGCTATTGACCTTGACCATGCCCTAGATCTAGAGAGAGCAGTGGCTCCTAGTACTTAGGATGGGTTAAATGCAGAGGACAAATTTCACTATACATTGTACTAAAGGGCTGCATTGGGAACAGGAACGGGCGGGTCCTGGGATTTATCTAGTCGATAAATTAAGTAGAGAGGAATATTAAAGCAAATATTTACAAAACAACAGCAAAACATGGCAAGTCTGGCATTTGGAGAGGTTTCTCAGTTGTTACTGAATGAAACGTTTCCACCTTTGGGACGGGGGCAGAGATCTCTATTGTGCAGGAGTGAATGGTCAGAACGCTTGTGGGAGCGGGCAGTAACAGTCTTAAATCCACCGGGAGCAGGCGCGATTAAAAAAAACAGTCCCACGCAGGGCTCTACATTGTCCTGTGTATGACTGTATATGTGTTGCATGCAAAGTCACACATATACTGTGGCACATCAAAGCTTGTGTGTGTTTCTGTGCTGCAGCATAACATCGGCTCTCTGCTGAGAGATTCTGCTTGGCATCAGCAACCTGCTGCTTTGAGGAAATGCCCTTTTGGTTAAATAGGAAATCTCTTCATGTTTCTGTCCCCCGGGGGTCAGTGTCTCTTTAACTGTACAAAGTTCATTGTGTTTTTCTGACAGGCTGCCACAGAGGAATAAAACATGTAGAATTACTTATAATAACTGTCAGCTGCTCACAGTTTGGCCTGTTTCCAGTCACAGCCAAGGATACTTGGATGTGTAGTACATACTGTGTCTTTGCAGTACCTTAAATATGATGTTTACGATGGGACAGGATGTCTTTTTTACTAATGGTTTTCCCTTATCTCATCCACTTCCCAAAGGGGTCAGTGGGGGTCAGTGGGGGGTGGACAGTTAGCTTTGCAATAAAAAGACAAAAACAGATTCACACATTGGGTTTGTTTTCAAAGTCAATTCAAGAGTTAAATGTTGTCAGAACAGTTGTATAGGATAAAATAGGAGAGTAAAAGCTCCAGTGTAAGATATTAATAAAAAAGCCTCAAATTGGATTTAATAAAAGGCTGAGGCAAACAGAAACTCTTCAGCCTTGATTTAAAAGAGCTGAAAGCTGCAGAAGACCTGCAGCTTTCTCGAGTTTGTGTTGCATTAAAACTAAAAATTGTTTCTCCATGTTTAGTTTTGACTTTGGGGACAGAAAGCAAACCTGTCCTAGACGACCTGAGGACTAGATGCTTCACAACGTAGCAGATGATCAGAAATACATTTTGGCCCTAAACCATTCAGTGCTTTATAAACCAACAGCAGTAATTTAAAATCAGTTCTTTGACAGACAGGAAGTCAGTGTAAAGACCCCAGAACTGGAGTGATTATTGGGTCTCAGTGAGGACACGAGCACATTATGGAGTCAAGTGTGTGTTTTATGATCCACATGTGTATGACGATTTGTTAACAAATTACAGGCTTCACAAATGTGTTTTCTTGTAAATCAGTCCTGGTCAGACAAATCAGAAAAATCATGTAAAATCAGTTCTGAGTGTAAGGACCCAGTTTCAAAACCCTTTAACATACTTACCCCTGGGATTGTTGTGATCGATGCAATGTTATGTGGGAAAGATTCACTAATGGCGACTGATATAGTGAATGTTTGAGCTGGAATGAATAAACCTTTTTTACTTTGCACCACTATGACTCTGCAAAGGTACTCAGAAGGCTGCTTTCTTAAACAAATACTTTAATTAAAGAATAATTAAGTTAAACATTCTTTAACATGATAACAGACCAATATGTCTGCGATAGGCTGATATTGGCCCATAATATCAACTGACAGATATCAGTCAGGCTCTAATAGGAAGAAACATTCCTTTGCACATTTGTAAAACTTTTTTCTTTAATTTATGGATCATGAAACACAGATTTCTCACTACTATTGCCAATATTTTTTACTCCATAATGCACAATGAAAAGGAAAACTTCAAACTCTAAACTGAATGTGGAAATGGGATTCACATTTAGTTCTCTCCCTTGCTTGCCTTCCCCATCAGCTGCTGACTTGATGTGAGCATCTTACTATAGTTACTGCACATGAAAATACAGTCATACAGAATTAAGGTTATGTGTGCACCTCTTTTCTGAATGTTTGGGGAAGGCTACAGTATTCAGTAGACCTCACCCAGATTTTTATATTTTATTTTCTCAGGGTTTGTGACAGGATTAAATAAACCCAGCACCATTAAATATAACTGGCAAAAAAACATTTATGAACCAAGCAGCTGGCAGTGGTTGGGGCAGCCCTGCAGTCCACATATAACTGGACCGTGTGACAAACAATGAAAATTCCTTCACTTGGTTTTCACCTGACAGTGGCAACGTAAGATAAATGGTTCAGTGGTCAAAAGACTGAAGATCTGCCATCTAATCTGAATTCCTCCTTTGCAGTCATTTCCTGCAGCTTAAAGCAAACATACCCGGCCCAGTACATATACTGTTAATGTACACATCTTAAGGGAAAACCCAGAATGAAAGGGGAAATAAATGAGCCAAAAGCCAAATTACTAACTGAGATTAAACAAAATTAAGCAGCAAAACACTTTCCTGATCTACTGTTTGTTCATCACTACAGGCCCAAGATAAGGTAAAGGATGTACAAAATATTCCCATTTTGCATTTATTCCAAAAAAGAAAATATTCCAAAATAGTTGTTTACATGGCAATTCAAAATGAACATTCCACTAATATTCCTGTTCACATGCAGCTGTGCTAAAAGTGGAGCAGCTGGAGCTGCTTGAGCCATTTAGCCTCTTTTCCACCGCATACATGTCCAAAGAATACTCCTAAAACCTGAATAATATCTAGATCTGAATCAGAAAATGCTCATTTCTGAATAAGGCCTCATTAGGACTATCCAAACTGAATATGCTGTTTACATAAAACTACAACAACTAAACTTGTTATTCTTAAACGTCACAAATGTACAGTGCAAAAAGGGAAATTTGCAAATCTTCTGATATCCTGGGTAACACCCACTTTGGGAACCAGACAAAAAAAAGAAGAAGAGAAAAAGTATGGTGGTCGTAAAACTCTCAAAAAATGCAAACGCCCATATCTAGAGCCAGTGTTTAGTTTGTCCCTTTTTGTAGAAAGATGGTAGTTCAACAAGGCAGACCCCACAGAGGGCGATCCGCTGTGTCTGTAGATAAAACAGCTCATTATAAAG